TAGCTGTGGCTGTACAGCTGTGTAGCTGTGGCTGTACAGTAACTACAGCTGCCCTGGGGCAGACTGACTGTTTCCTGCTTTTCTACTTGTCTCAGGTAAATGGATGCCTGGTTTAGTCTGTTTGAAGTGTCTGTGTTGTCGATGTGATTTTGTACTTTTAAATGTTGGAATAAACGCTGAAAATGCATGACGTGGAGCGCTGACTGTCATCTCTATGTGGCTATTATTTCCACGCTTGGCATCACTGAATCCGGGAGAACAAGAGAATACAACGAGCCAGAATGTAATGATTTTATTCTCTTACAATACAAAAGTTGCAGTGATTGTGGGAGTTAGAGAGGCATAGTAAGGCACTAATCAATGAGATATAAGTGCACACTTATTCAGATCACCCAGCCCCTTTTTTCTTTAATTGTGCTACTCAGATAATCGTGGAGGAGCGGGATCAGGAAATGGAGAGGCGTTGGAAGGCAGAACAAGCTGTGAGGAAGCTGACAGAGGAGCTGAAGTGCCTGCAGACAAAAGTCAGCGAGGAAAAAGACCTTCAGAGTATGGCTCTGCACACCACAGACAGGTAGGAGGGAGGGAGGCGCAGGTGGACATGTAGGCTCTGCACACAAACAGCAGCACGAAAACAACATTTAAAATGAAATGACTTTCAGATTGCTGATGTGCTGCTTTGGTATGTTTCAGCCATCAGAGATGTTCTATGTTCTAAATCATTTACTGTATGTGCGGTAATAATTGAGCTGTGAAACTGAGTTTAACTTTCCAAAAAATGTTGTTGAATGAAGGTTAATTTATGATCTTACAAGGGGGGGGGCAGGTTGGACTGGATGGCATTTTCCCAAATCAATTAAAAGCAGTTTATTCAATGTATAAAATCAAAATGAGAAAAAAAATAGAATCTTTAAAGGAGCAGAAACTATTTAACAGCATTGTATATTCACCAGTTCTAATTTCAGGTGTTATTGCACGTAAGGCTGTATTTGTTGTGTCTCCTCTGCACAAACAGGCATCGCTGTCTGGAGATTTTCCTTGTTTGCATCATTTTCCCATTTGCATAAATTTGCGTGATGTGTAATTATGGGTTTGTGGCATGTATATGTCAGCAGTATTAAACAAATCAGTCTCAGCTGTCACTATGTAACAGCAAACACAGCTGTTCCTGTCACCATCAACACTCTTCAACAGAACGATTAACAAGTGGTGACTCATCAGTTCTGAGATCCGTTTGCTGTGTACGACATTTTGCAGTTTGGAGGCATTTTATTTACATTACGCATTTCCTTCCCTTACTTACTTCTCATATTTTGATTTTTGATTTACATTTCACCTCCATTATACATTTGTTCATTTCCAAATTTTGAGTCAAGTTGTTTGTTTTTCTAACCTAACTTCAACCCAGATAAATTATAAATTCAGCTTTTAACTCCTGGTGTTCTGCACTAATCAGACTGAAGGAACTGCTGCTGAAAGAGAGATCGGGACGCTCTGAGCTGCAGGCTCGTGTTGAGGAGCTGGAGACAAGGTGCCAGTCTCTTAGCCGGCAGCTGGAGCAGGCCCGGAGCAGTGAGGAACAACACAGGGCTGCGCTGCAAAGACTGGAGGAAACCGTCTCCCATGGAGACGCTCTCAGGGCTCGCCAGCAGGCTGAGGAGGTACGCATTCTGACTGTGGATAGGAGGGCATGTTGAGTGGCTTCAGCATTATTTTGATGTTTTTTTGTGTCACTATAAGTGTGAAGTGGAAGAAAAATGATAAAAAGTCTTTAAAAATAAAAATCTGAAAATTGTACTTTGCGTTGATATCAGGCCATGCATATCAATGCAAATCCATCTTGAACTGCAATGGCAGAAATTGCTGCATGCATGTTTGACTTTTAATTTCTCACCCAAAGTGTTGGATGCAGGCCAAAGGCAACAAAAGGTGTGATCTGAATCAGTCCACCCTCAAGCGTTGTGTTGCTCTGCTGCCTCTTGGTGTGCATGATGCTTCTTCTTCACTTATATTCTCTAACAAACAGAACAGCTGGGTTAATACTGACTTACACTGTTTTATTTATAAACCTGATTTCTGAAGGTACTTTGTTGCTCTGGATTTTATTTGGGGCTATTTAAGTACAAGTAGCTGAATACAAATGTATAAACAATGTTTATTTTTTTTTCTTTGTAAAAATGTTCTATAGCATGTATTGTTATTATACTAATTTAACAACTATTTTCCACTTTGTATTGGCCTGTCACATAAAATCCTGATACCCTGAAGTTTGTGTTTGTACTGAAAGAGAATGTAAAATACTTCAGTAAATCTGAATACTGTACCCTAAACTGTTTATTCTTATTATACAAGTTTCATCAAATTAGAGCAAATGTAGAAATTAAAATAATTCTCCAGTGAGGGTCACAGGATGCTACTAAACACTAAACATGATTCCTCAGATGAAACGTCACCAGGAGGTGGAGAACAAGGCAGCAGCTCTGAAGAGGGAGCTGGACATCCAGAAAGTTGCTGTCCGACAACACAAAGACAAACTGCAGCAGCTGCATGAACTGCTAGCATCCAGGGAGCAGGAGCACAGGTACACCTGATGGAAACATTACATCTAGTTTCTCACTTTTAAAATTGTTTATTTCAAAACACACACAAAAAAAAATCTTCCTATTTATGTCCTGTAAACCCGACCACAATTCATATTTGTGCAAAAAAAAAAAAAAAAAAAAGCTAAAATAAACCTTTTCTGTTTCTCCATGTCTGATCAGGAAATGGTCAGAAAATGAAAATGTGGAGGTTTTGCTTCTGCATAATAATACCAGCATTATCTACAACACTATTACAACTTTCTGGTAATTTACTAATATATGTGGAGAAGGGTAGTGGTCCTAAAATGGACCATTGTGGTACACCTGGTGTACAACGTCGAAAAAAGAATCTTTAACACATTACTCTTTTTTTATATATATATATATATATATATAGTAACAATGGAGTTGAAAAATATATCTGATAAATCCATAAATTTGATTGTTTTTTTGGATGTGTTAAGGATTTTGTTGTGATGCATACATGTCAATACTGTCTTCCAATTCTCATCTTCCATCAGAAAACAGCTGGAGCTGCGACTGCAGCCCGGCGGGGCAGATTTCCAGCAGGCGGTGTCAAAGGAAGTAGCAGCAGTGGAACAGAGACGTCAGCAGAGGGAGGCGGAGCTGCAGGAGAAGCTGGCAGAGGGCAGGAAGCTGTACGCTGCTCTGGAGGACGAGTTCCGTATGGCGCTAACCATCGAGGCAACGCGCTTCTCCGAGGTCTGGTCTTACTAAGATGCCATAATACATACAACATTTATGATCAAATTAACCTGGTGATTTTCAGCAGTTCTGCAACCTGTTTGCTTTATTTAATTAAAAAGGACAATTATTTTTTTTTTATTTTTCCTGAGAATTTTACTCAAGGAATCCTGCCCCCATTGTAAGTATAATGGGCATAAGGTTTTTTTCTTCTGAAAGAGGAGGAGCGCACTTACTGCATTTCTCTGACCGAAAATCCTTTAAAATGCCTATTCTGATTTTGGCCATTACCAATTTTTCTGGTCTGAAATGTTGCTAAATATAGCAACAGTGGGATAACTATTGTTAACTCCAAACATCATGACCTGGTGGACCAGTCAGACCTCTCTCACAGGAGAGGTCGATTTTTAGACCTTTGCTGAGGTAGATTCTGGGATAAGATCCTTGCCAGATGTTTATGGACACCATTCCAAAAGTACAAACGTATTTCTCAATTGTAGATAAGAAATTAGACTAAACTCCTCCTGTACTAGGCTTGAGGCAGTTGCCAAAAATTATTTCTATTTTCTGAATTCTGCAATATTGACTGACGTTTTTCTTTTACTTCCTACAAATTAAAAAAAAAATTAGTTGTAAGCAAATACTGAATCAATAAATGAAAACATTAGACATGAGATTAAGCCTGGGACATAAAACGGAAAAGTTTAGTCTGATTTACTATCACTTCTATATTAAACGATGTGGGTCTGCACTGGTATGGTCTAAAAAAATTGTAACAAAAAGAGAATAACCTTTTGTCATTTTTCTTTTTGTTAAGTAGTTAGTTGTTCATAAGAGGTGAATTAAGAGTCTTCAGTAATTTAAACCTGCAGGCCTGGTGAACAGCCTTACTATCACTGGTGGAAAAGACACCAGTGAAGCAGAGACTAATCCCCAAAATGCATTTCATTTGAAAGTAATTATTGTAGCAGCATATTTGAAATAATCTCATGAATAAAAAAGGGAACTTGCATGGAATAATGAAAAAAAGCTGAAAAATTGCCAGAGCCTTTATACTGTCCTGAATTTTAGACATTTTCTGTCTTAAACTGTAAATTATTACTTGGCTTTCTTAAAGTGATTGAACTGTACTGGCCTCATTTTTTTAAAGACTGAAGATAAAAGCTCAGACTCAGTTGGGATCATTTGTTTCAGGACAAGTAGTCTTTGATTGCCACTGGAGGGAAGCTTTACAGAAGGACCATATTTGAATCAGTTCATACTTTTATTCAGGCTCTGAACAAAATGCAATCTTTTTTTCCTGATTGCCACCACTTTTGTCCTTGACGTCACTCGAGCTGTTCACCTTCAAGAAACGCCTGAATGAGAAACAGATTGCCGGATGCATTTCTGAAATATTGCTTTGTGGCAAATCAATGAGTGTAGAAGCTGCTTTTGCCGGGCACAAGTTGAGACTTGCTGATGAAATGCCAAGTCTGTCAAAGATTAAATAAAAACTTCTCTGGATGTTTAAACGCTCAACTTTTTTCTTCTGCAGGTGAAGGAGGCTTGTGATCATATGACTGCAGAGCTGATGGAGCTCAAGACAAGCCTTGCTCAGTCCCAGCAAAAGGAGAAGAAATCAGGCGCTCTGGTGCAGGAACTCACCGCAATGGTGAAAGAACAGAAGACCCGAATCTCTGAGCTCATCAAAGCCAAGAAAGATGCTGTCGCTGAGCTCAAGGTGTGAAGCAGAAATTAGATTTTTATTTTCAGATAACATCATTGCCGGATGCAATAATATTTAGGATTTAAATATTATTTGTCGGACAAGCAAGATAGTATTACCTGGCCCCTTTTCAAAACCTGCCTCATCTAGGAAATGTATTACTTTCAGATATAATGAATCCTGAATGGTCCTGCTGCTTTACCATCTGCCAGTCTTAAAAAGATTGATAGTGATCATTAATCCAGTCTGTGTCTGTTCCTCTGCCAGAACCGTGTGCACTACCTGGAAGCAGAGGGAGAGCAAAGCCAGCGTTTAGGGCTACAGCTCGAGACGCTGAAGAAAGAAAAGGCACGGCTCGTGTCTCAGCTCACAGCTCAGGAGTCGGTCATTGACGGCCTGCGGGCTGAGAGGAGGATTTGGGGCCAGGAGCTGGCTCAGCAGGGTGAGGGAGAACCAGGGAAGAACTTGGAATGCATTTCACTTGGCAGTGGAGACGATGAGATGCACTTTTAGGCTTTATATACCTGTAAATCCACAGCAACAAAGCTTGTAGAGCTAATATGAAGGTTTGACAGTAACTTTGCCATCTAGTGGTCATTTTTTAGATTGATAACTACAAAACAAAGAAGGACAATTTCTTTTAAGGCATTTTTTTACATACAGAACCACTGTCACACCATGTTTTTTTTGTATTTTGCATTTCAGAAGGCAGTATAACTACTAGTCTGCATACCGCAAATATGGCCTTTATATAAGCAATTTGAAGGGGTTTTGGGGGACATAATGTAAAATAAACTTTTTTGAGCTTCGCATCATGTTGCTCGGCTGCTGTCACCAGCCGAGCTTCTGCTTCACACAACACGCCTCACCCGTGCCTTCCCCGCTCAGCTCCTCCAGACTAGCAGCAGCAGCAACACCTGGTGAAACTGTGAATCTGCTGAGCTCATCATACGAAGTATTTCTCAATCAAACGGTTGTATAATATAGTAGAGGAGCACTGTTGTTAAGATGTGCTGATGATTGAAAAGAGCAGAAGCTTTTTAAAGAGACAGACCCAATTACAAGGCATGGAATTAGGAAGTCTATTTTCTTTTAAGTCATATAGTTAGTCGATCGTGCTATAAATTGGATCTGTGTACCTGGTCAGATGATACTAAAACTTTCTGGCCTTCCACCTCACAAATATGTTCTACTCTATGTTAGTCTATCACAAATCACTGTGAAACAGGCAAACCAGTATAAGCAAAGTAATATGAGAGATATAATTTAATTTCTGCTTGTACTTATTTCTCTCTCCCAGGTGCGTCGTTGGCTCAGGATCGTGGACGTTTGGAGGCCAGGATAGAGGTGCTGACTGCTGAGATGGAGACGCAGAGAAAACAGAACGACAGAGACCATGACGCCCTTAGAATCAAAGCCAAAATCGTGGATGACCAGACTGAGACCATTCGCAAACTAAAAGAGGTGCTTTGATATTTACTCAAATCTGTACTCTTCCAGCAGATTTTTCACATTCCAATTATTAATCTCTTCTTTTTGAGTGAGAAAAATAACATTGTATTTCACACAGAATAGCCTTAAGCAAAAGACTGTCTGGCTCTGTTGTCACCCGTTGCCTTCCTGGTGTTCAGTCCTTGCAGGAGCGTGACGAGCTGAACCGCCGGTTGAAGGAGGAGGCTGTGCAGACCCAAAAAAAGTTTCAGCAGCAGCTGGAGGATGAAACAAGCCAGCAGGCTGAGCTGAAAGAGCAGCTGGTACATCTTAGCCTGCGTAAAGAGGAGCTGAAACAGCAGCTGGAAGACAAAGAAGCAGAGCTGGAGGATGCCAAAAGAGTTTACAGGCAAATCTAAATAAGGAGAATGTGTGTCTGATAACATGTTTAAAAATGAGGTGAAATATAAAGGATTTGATCAGATTTAGATGAAAACAACATTGTATGCAAGTAGTTTCTCTACTGTTTGAAATAGGATGCAGATTTCATGACAGATGTTTCAGATTATTTTTGCTTCTTGTGTTAGAGGCAGGGATATCTGTTTTGTAATTTGTGTCTGAAACCAGGCCTGTGTTCTATGTATCTCATCGATCATTAGTGATTCAAACAAGAAGTGGCAGGAGAAAGCAGAGCTGCTAACTCGACTTGAAAGCCAAGTGAAGCGTATGAAGGAAAATTTTGATTCCAAGGAGCGCCTGCTGCTGGAAGAAAGAGAGAAAGCATCAGAGGCGCACAGGTAACTGTTCTGTTGTTTTGTTTTGCATTTATGAAGCACTTTTAATATAATGTTTCTGCATTTGTTGCCAGATGTTAGACATCTTTGCAATAATTTGCTATTAACACAAAACATAGTAAAAAAAAAAGTTTTCTCAATCACTTTTTGCTATTACGTTGCTGCTTGAAACAAGACAGTGAATATTATTACACTAAACATAATTTATCTGTTGCAACTGAACCAGAAAGTTGAACACTTGTGTAGCATTTTAAACATTGGGCCTTCCACATAAATAACCTGCTTCATTTGTTATCATTGCCTCTTATGCAGAGCTGCAGTGGACAAGTTGCGCAGTGTGGATGATGCTTTTCGTCGGCAGCTGGAGTCTGTCCAGGCTGCACATCAAGCAGAGCTGCTGCAGCTGTCTAATGAAAAACAAAAACACATAGAACAAGCTAACCTAAAGGTAAAATATGGATTTTATTTCTGCATAAATTGTTTGTCTTCAAGGTGGAAAGAACAAGAGCTACAGCGTGCTATTTTTTCAAGGGTGCTAATAATTTATTAGGATGCTATAGGTACAATAATTTTATGCACATGTCAACACTTGTTTTGCTGTTGATAAGTTTCACCATATGTTATAAGACAGATTGTCATTCCATCATCCTATTGTCTTCTGCCATGCTGAAAATAGAAATTAAATCAGTGAAGGTATAATACAAAGAACTGTAATATAGTTTTATTTTGTAATTGTCTATGTGTGATTTTTTTTTTTTCCATTTAGGTATATGAAGTAGAGGAAGAGATGCGTCAGCTCCTGGAGGAGACGGAGGCCAACAAGAAAGTCATGGAGGAAAAAATGAAGCGCCTTACAAATGTGCTAAAAGACTTTAACACATAATATGTCAACAACATGACAGTTTTTATGCTGAATTTAATTTTATTTTTTTGTATATATATATTCATATATTTTTTCAATTGTCTTTTGTATGTCTTATCAAATAAATTTTATTTTCCAGAGATACAACTATGAACATTAATATAAGGGACACATTATATTGAAAACATAATTATTTATTCTCACAGACAATTTTATTAATATTTTACAACAAATTAAGTTTTATAAGATGAAATGTAAAGAATGTGATTTTGCTCAAATCAATTAATTTTAGTCCAATACAATGTAATAATGTTGTCCAACAAGATTAGCTATTACACACCTGTGAAAAATGTGCCTTGGTGAAAATGTACAGAGAATTCAAAACCCTGAACACACTGTCCCCACTATAAAACACGGCAGTGGCAGCATCATGCTATAGGTAGGCTTTCTTTCTGCAGGGACAACCAAACTTGGGCGGACGTTCTCTTTACCAAACAATAAATTCCTAATGTTTGTTTTACAAATTTATAATTTAAAGTATTGTAAAGGCTAACAGTAAAACAGCAAATATTTGTTAATGTCGAAACGTAGGATATATAATTGCTTAGCAAAGCTATGTTGACTAGTTAAAAATTTAAATTTTTACATAAATTTATGAACATGAGTGTTTCTGTCATGTTATATTTATAGTAACACTTTTAGTATGTCAGCGTTTATGAAGCATACAATGTATTTTTCTACAATACTTACTAAAACTGTCAAATTATTTAATTTGTTTGCAATGTCGCTCCGTATTGTTTGGGGCGGAGTCTAAGGGGAGGAGGGCACGAGGTTGGACAAGGGTTGCCGTGGCAACCGTAACCCAACGTAACGTCCGTTCATTTAAAAAGACTACAGAGGCAATGTAAATGCTGGTCCTGTTAAGGTAACAGACTTGTAATCTGTTAGTTGAGAGTAATGGCCGTTATCTGTAGTTAAACGCAAGCAGCTGACTAAAAGAAAAAAAAAAAGTGGTTGCTTCTCTTTCTAGAGAGAAGATGGAGTTGGAAAGGACGGTGACTGTACGCTCGACCTCGAGTCGCCATGAAAAAAGTTTGGGGCTCCTCACGATGAAGTTTGTCAGTCTTCTGCAAGAAGCTAAGGATGGCGTTCTTGATTTAAAAATGGTCAGTGACACCGAGAGACGACTCTTTCATATTATTTGACTGTATATTGGGGGGGAAAGATTGATCGGTGCTGTGCTGCCCCGTAGTTTCTGCTGCTAGTTTTAACAAAGGGCTGTCCTTCACAAGTCGTCAGGTGTATTTATGTATGAAACAGGTGCACTAGGAGTCCGCCATTAGGCTTACCCCATTGTAAATCCGTCAAAAACAGATGAAAGAACAAACTGTAAACAAAATAACTTGCAGTATGATGAAAAAGTTAATGAGACTTATTGTTTACAGGTTCAGTATCTGTAGCACTGGAATGTGAATTCCTATGCATGCATGTATTTTCAGGAGAATCAGAAACTTTCAAAAAGTAAGTTTGTTGTTGCAGAAATCGCCAAATGTAAAATCAACCCTTACCACAGATCTTCGTTGTTTACCTATTTCAGTAACAGAAAAAGGCAAAAATGATAGAAGTGTTTCTACAGGTGAATTTAAATGGTAAGCTGAAATTATTTTCACTTTAGCTAAACGTATAGACTGATTACTGGAGCCAAAATTTGTACTCAAGTAAAAGTGGCCCTTCTTTCATTTTTACATGTAGAGGTAAAGAGTTTGACAAAAAATATTTTTACCAAAGTATGAATAAAAATAGTATTTGGTGAAAAGGTGACTTAAATTGTGAATCCTGACTAGCTGATGTAATTTGTGAAAAATGTCATTATACACAACAAAATATAAAGTTGTGTTTAAGTTCTTGTACTTAGAATGATAAAGTAAAAAATATATAGAACATTTGGCAAAATACACTTTTACAAAAGAACACATTTTGAAATCTTACAGTTCACATCAAAAAACCTTTAATATGAGGTGCCTTATTGGTAAATATAGGCTTGCACATTTTTAATAAAATTTATTGAGACACCATCATGGTCAAACTATGTTTTATTGGCAGGTGAATTCTTCAGTATAATATGCTTTACTTTACTGATCGGCTTTCAGTAGCACAAGGCAACAATTTGGCAGTATGAAAATGTTTTTAATGAGAAAGCCACACAAATAACTTCAGGCTTTTTGCATTGCATCTTCATTTCAGGAATCCTGCCTAAAATGTTAACATGTATTACCACAAGCTTCGCAAATCATCCATTAAACTTTCAATTCTATCCATGAATCTATTTCCCTCTTTTTTGCGCGCCAAACCTGGTTAATGGTTACCATGGATGTTTCTTAGACTCTTTCCCCTCCCTCCTCCGCTGTTACTTTATTTAAAAAAAAGGTCAGTTTTTTTTTTCTTTCTTTTTAAGTATAAGCTGTTTGTTTTTCTTGGGAGGATTTGGGCAATATTTCAGTGTTGTGCGCGTGTTGCTTTAAGATAACGCCTCTTAAACTGCGGGCGACTTATGTCTCTGTCTGCCTGAATCAACAGGCTGCAGACAGTTTGGCAGTGAAGCAGAAGCGGAGGATTTATGACATCACGAACGTCCTGGAAGGTGTGGGGCTAATCGAGAAGAAAAACAAGAACATAATCCAGTGGAGGTTTGCAAATATTTGCTTCTTTTTTTAAAATGAGCAAACCCGAAAGGGCAACTACATGCCTGAGTATTAGTGGCTGGTGAATCTTTGATCTTTGAATATTTAAGTTGGACTTGACAAGCAGTGATTCTATATTGTCTAAAACGTTTCTTCCCCCCCCACCCCCCCCACCCTTGATCAGGGGGCAGAACAATGGGAGCCCAAGTCAGGAGATGTTGGAGCAGATCAGAGTTTTAAAAGCCCACATCGCTGAGCTCGAGGTTCAAGAGAAGGAGCTGGATGACCAGAAGGCCTGGGTGGAAGAGAACATCAAACACCTCACCCATGATCCAGACATCCGTGCATATCCTTCAGCTCTTTGTTTCTTTTTTGTTTTTTATGTTTTTGTTTATAATTGTTAATCCTTGTTTTTTCCTGTTAACTTTCCAACATTTCATTCCCGTTTTCTAACACTGCTAAAAGACTTTTTTTTTTTCATCTCAAGTGTTTACATTTGCCACAGAGACTTTTAATTTGATTTCTTTCCAAGAAAAGTTCACGTGGTTTTGACATTTTAACTCTGAATTGTTCCAAGGCTCATTTAATTCTTCTCATATGAAAGAAACCCCCGTCTGATCCTTTCAGCATTGTTTTTCCCGTTGAACAGAAAGAGGCTATGAAAGGAGGATTAAAAATATAATCACTATTGTCTTTCGGTGAAAAAGCAGCCAGGCTAACCCTGACTCTCACAATGTCTGCATCCTTTGTTTTCCCCTTTTGAGTGTCTCCTTTTTTCTCTTGAAGCTAATCCTGTTTCTTTAACATCTCTTCACCTATAAATTTGTGACGCACGAGGACATCTGCAATTCTTTTAGTGGAGACACTCTTCTGGCTGTTGTGGCTCCCTCTGGAACCCAGCTGGAGGTGCCACTTCCTGAAAGGGTAGAGTGATTTACCAGCTTGAATAGAAATTAACATTTTCTTCCCTTATGGAAGCATTAACTAGAAAGTTCAACATTTAAAAGATTCTTTCCAGCTTTTTGTTGTGTTAAAGCAGACCTTTCACAGCAGACTGTTTGGTGTTTCCTGAAAACTATATACACATATAAACCTGTTGATAAAGTTTCTTTGATGCAGCAAGCTTCTATTGATCATTTTTACAGAGTAAAAGTGGTCAGAAGAAATACCAAGTGAACCTGCGGAGCCACTCTGCTCCCATCCAAGTGATGCTCATCAACAGAGAGTCCGGCTCCAGAGTCCCTGTGGTCTTTCCCGTTCCACCCACTGACAACGTTTGTCTGATGCCAACCCCGCCCAGCACGCCCGCCAGCCTGCAGAAGCTCCCCCTCCTAAACTGTGCTGCCACTACACCCAACCCCACTTCCTCCTGCTGCAGCCAGGACTCCGTCTCCTCAGACCAGCAGATGGTGCTGCCAGACCTTGAGGAAGAGCTCACTCCATCTTCCACCCCCGGTGACTTGCAGATGGGTGAGCGGCTAAATATTCATTTCAAATTTTAACGCTCTATGTGTTTCCTGTAAGCTTTGGAAATTATTTAAAAAAGTCTGAGTGTTTTAAAGTTGAAGTGGATTCAATGTGTGTTCCGCCACAGAGGCTAGAACTTTCTTTCTTTCTTGTTTATTTGCATGGGGACAATACCATTTATAGGATAACCTAGTGTGCAATGCACGACCTAAAATGTATCTTTAACAACAGCATAGCACAAACCTTAGCAAAAACTTTACCGCCTGTGTGTAATTTAACTTTTTCACATTTTCTCACCAGACACAGTCATAAACTTTATTGTACTTTATTGAGATTTCTAATGACCAACACAAAATAGTGCATAAATATCAAGTAGAAGGAAAAGTAATTTGCTGCCTTTACTCTTATATGCCTAGATAAAATTGAATATAGCAAACTGACTTAAAATCACCCTACAAATGTAGTCCACCTGTGTATAATTTAAACTCAGCATAAATCTGACTGTTCTGTAAAGGACTGAGACATTAATTAGAAAACATTTAACAACAAACGGCATCATGTAGACCCAAAAAACACAACTGATGGGTCAGGGATAAAGCTGCTGATAAGTTGGTTTAAAAATATCCAAGATTTGGTGATCGTATGGCACAAGTCCAAACCTACCATAACCTGACCAGCCACCCTAAACTAACAGGCTGGGAAAGGAGACTATTAATCAGAACCCCATGGTGACTGTGGAGGAGCTGCAGAGATTCATAGCTGAGGCGAAACAATATGCTGAAGGGGGATCTGCTCATCACTTCTTGGAAAAGTGTCTTAAAGAAAATCATAACTGGGTAGAAAAAGCCACAAAAAGTTAAATCTTACAACACACTGAACATGTCACCCCTATGGTGAAATATGGTGGCGTCAGCATACATGCTGAGGAGATGTATGTTTCTTTAGCCGAGTTGTTGCAAGTTGATGGAAGATCATTAGAGGAAGCTGGAGGGAAATACTGGCAGAGAGCTCCACAGCTACAACACAAGAGCCGGTTGGTGTCCAAGCAAATTCATGTTTGAGTTGCCACATTAGAGTCCTTGCACACAACACTTTTATTTTTATATATATATATATATATAAAACAAAATAAAAATAAACATGAATTGATTTTGTGTTGGTGTCCATCTTAAAATGTCAGTAAAACATAAGTTTGTGGTTGTAAAGTGATAACATGGAGGATCCAGGGATGTGCTGCTGAGTTGCACACACACACTTTTTGGTTCTGCATTCCCTGTTGAGTATTCTGAAAGCACACACGGCCTTGTTACCTGACTGGACTGACTCGTATGGTGCAAATCACAAAACTCGTCCCAGGATATCAGATGTCACAGCATTTTTTTTTAAACATGCCAAGACAGGAAAGTGATATGTGACAATGTCTTGCAACTGAAATGAAAGAGCTCTGAGAGTCATGACATGTAGTTTGATCAGGTTATGTGAACTGAACCCAGAGGTTCAGACCTTGAAATGGGGATTTTTATTTATTCATAAATGTTTGCCTGTACAGCTACCATCTGCTTTAAATCAGATTGTTACAGAACCGATTTACATTGTTGTGAACAAAAAATGTAAATGTTCACAATAAGGTTGCCTAAAGCAACCCAGAAAGTCAAACATCTTGCCTTTTTAAATTAACTTTTAGTTGTTAATGCTGTCTTGTGGAGTGCTATTGTTTTTGTCAGCTTTATTTGTTTGGAGAGAAAGTTGCATACATTTAATAACACATTTAATAATTGCTGTTTTTACTGTCCTGCAGCAGCCAGATTTTTCCCACAAGTCATGAGAAACCATTATTTTCCACTGTGAAAGCGATTTCTCCAACAACAGTTGGATTGCTCATCAGAGCCTGTGTTTCTGTAATCATGCAAGTTCAGCTGATGCCATTGTCAAAGCGAAACCGATGCAGACCTCTATTACTGGAATAAATGAGGAATTGGCAAAAACAGAAGATTTTTAGTTTTGTTTCCTTGCTGTTACACAACAAGGTGCCGGAACCTGTGACTAACTATAGATTGCGGTAAAAAGTCCTGAGGTGCTAGTTTGTTAAAATTGCTTTATTACCATCTTGCTGTACCAACTTAACAACTTTAACTACCTGCTGGTTTAAAATTAGTTTTAGGACGGATGAGGGCTGGGAAAGGTTTTAAACGCATACGGAAGTGAATTTTCTAACAGCATTCCTGCTTGCTATCATGTTTCTGCAGAGTGTCACAGCGAGTCGGCAGCAGTCGTGTTGGAGCAGCATCAAATAGACCTGGAGGATCCAGAGTTCCAGTCCGTCCTGGACGTTAGCAGCCTGCTGCGGCTCAGCGCAGGCGCTGACAGCATGAGGGACGACCGAGAGGGTGAGGTGCTTTGCTGGACGCCACATGCAGAGATAACGATCATGGGTGGTTTAATGTTTGCTTCACTGGCTTACTTAAAGAGTTTACAGTTGATCATAAGATAAGACCACACTCTAACATAAATCCTCTGGTTGGAAAACCTCTGGCCTTAAACCTAACAATGTTTTGAGCCAAATCTGATCCACCTAGATTTGTTAGAAAAAGGGCAAAAAGTTTTTTTTTCTTTTTTTTTTTTTTCTCCTAAAATCACCTAAAATGAAACCCTAAATTGATCTCAAGGTGATGCCTCAGCAGAGCAGGGTGTCTGGTGTGGGAATCTTTTCACGGATGATGAAAAGACACACCGGAGCAATTCAAAGTTAGAATGAAAGTCATATTCTGTTTACAACAAGACAACAGACACCGGTGCGTTTTAGAACTGTTCTCAAATTGTGCAGCTGTCAGAGAAAATATTCGCTGTTTTCGTAGAAATTTACTGTACAAACACAACAACAACTCTTCAATTTTCACCAGCAATTGTTGTTGTGTAAACAAGGCCGTAGTCAGGGGTCACGGTTCTCAGTGGACGAAGTTGGATTGCTTCCTTTAGGTTCAGAGTCTTTCTGAAGAGTAGAAGTTGGTGAACGATGAATCTGCTTTGCATTGAAGAGTCAGCTGAGGTGCTTCTTCTGGGCAGAAGCAGAATTTGTTGATCCGTTACCCTAGCAACCAAATATTAGAAAAGAGGATGACTGGAGACCAATATGGTGTGTGGTTGGAGCCAGTTGAGCTATATTTGAACCAAGCAGCAACACAACTGATAAAGTTATGCCACTCAATAACATCAGATCCTGTAAATCATTAAGTGTTTGAGGAACCTTGAACTTGCTAAATTGGTGTACATTTATTATTTTAAAGTTATGTTTTAATCGCTGTATCTCAGGGTACAATGAAGCATTGTTCCAACGGAAAAAGCAAACAGCAGCAGTCACACCTGAAACTCAGAAACACGATGCGAGTTACAAAGACGTTTATGGTGACTTCTACGGAAGTTATTAAACCTGTTTGACTGTGGAAGGTGGGGGTGGATGGATTTACACCAAATCAGTAAAATCTTCAATTTAAACTCTTTTTTTTTTTTTATTCTCTCATAGGAGCTGTTGACCTTATTGATGAACTAATGTCTTCTAATGGTGAGGATTACAACACCTGCATCACAAACCTCTGAATTTGTTTAGTTAGATCTGGATAACATCACAGAGTTTAAAGAAACCTGATTGGTCTGTAATTATCTGTTTGCAGTCACCAGGACTGTGTACATTTGTTTTACACACACATACTTTTGTTTGGTTTTTAGTGGTGTACGTACTACCAGTCTTTCAAGTTTTGCTTTATGTTATATGACACAATGGACTTATAGCTTTAAATCATTTCAGAACTTAAGACCATATTAACTATGCTTTAATTCTGGAATCGATTAAAGCTGTACGTTCCTTCGCTTCGAAGGAAAATAACTTTGTGCCACATAAAATCTGACAGTCTGAACTGCATGTGCTTAGAGAATCTGTCGAATAAGATAGATGATCACGATTATGTTATCAATACCACATGTATCTCAGCAAATCCAGCGTAGTGAAAAGCAGCAACTTATTCCCACATTCTCAGCAGCATTTAAACATGACTTTTACTGGATACTCTTCTGGTCAATTTTACCCCCCCACCTCCCCCCTAAAAAAAGTCATTTAGAAATCTAAAATGAATACTAACACTTAAAGCATGCTGAGTCACGACACTCTTCTGATAGATGGATAAACGTAAACGTTGGAGGTCTGCAGAGCAGGTGTGAAACTGGCACCAGATTTTCTTTCCTGGGGGCTTTTTCTGATGTCTGAAAGTGTGTGATGCATTCCATGCGTTTGTAATAACAGACACATTTCCCAGATCACCTCACAGATTCTGTTATTCCTATGAACAGGTATAGACTACAGCTTCAATCTGGATGACGGTGCAGGAGTGTGTGACCTGTTTGATGTGCAGATCCTCAATTACTGATCTCTGCTGCCTGACACAACTCTGCTGCCCTCATTTCACACGCCTCCAAGAAATATTTCCTGTTATGTTGTTATTGCACAGCCAGTACTTCATATTGTTGCCTTAAAAAAAACAAACAAACAAAAAAAAAACAGTCACATCTTTAGACTGCACAGCTGTGCGCCAGACACAGCTGTGCACCAGATACGATACACTGGCTTTTGTCAACGACGCCTGGCACCTGAATGCGTTCTTCATCAGATATATACATATTTTTAAGGAAGCCACATGTTATGTCTTTACTAAGACTTTAATGGTTTTCTGGGTAAATAAAAAAATTCCAGACAGATAACGTGTCTTAGAAGTAAAGTAAGATTAATCCTACAGCCTCATTATATTTTTCCACATTCACAGGCTTTAACACGCTTATGACCGTGTTTTTGCCTATTTTTCTTACTACAACTTATTCTTTTGCGTCTGGTTTTATTTATTTTTTTTATTTCAACCAAGGTTGGGAATGTAAGCTCTTTTTTTCTTTTAAAGTAAAAGCATCACTTGTTTTACAGTTCTGATTCAGAAACATCTGATATTTAAGGAATAAATGTTTTGGCATCATTTTGTTACCTTATTATTGAGGAGGGGGAGAAAGCCAGAAAGTTTTCCTTTCTATATTACTGACACTGCCAGGTTAGGCCTCCCTTTTTCACAGCTGTATATTTAACTACATTTTATACTTAATTTAAGTAATGGAAGGCTATTTGTTCTAGTGTTTTGTAACTGAAACTAGGTTAAATGTCTTCATTTAAATAACTGAGTTTGCCATTTTTCTAAACTGATGACTATTCAGAGCCCTGAATGACATTTCTGTGTATTTGTTTTCTAATTAAAAGAAGTCATGTTTCATTGCACATAGTCATTTTTTTAAAACACTTTTTCCTGACTGAAGTTTGATGGTGGGATTGTGAAACCAGTCTAATGTGAGACGTTCCAGTTTGACTTTATTAATGACTTTTGGCTTTTGTTTTTGAGAAATAAAAGTAAAAATATGTTTTATAAACCGAGTTAAGAGGCACGTAAGTTGCAAAAACAAAGACTTTAAACTTGCTCATGTTTGCTGTGACTCCATAGCTTCTTATGTTTATGTCCACTTTACTTTGCTATTACCACTACAATTTTGTTATGCACTCGTGAAATAATCAGAAATTGACTTTTTTAATAATATTGACCACTGTATAGTCTAACAAACTATACGCTTTGTTAGATAACTTGAGATCATTTTCATTTTGAGAAAATCTTAGCTAAAATTGTTTAATTTTCAGCTTATATATATATATATATATATATATATATATATATATATATATATAATCCATATTTTCTTGTATGAACATGTTCAGTACATAAACTTGATGACCAAGCTTTTCACAGCTTGATTTTTTCTAAGATGATTTAAAAAAAAAAAATTATCTTAGAGTGAGGAGGAAAACCATCTAAACGCTCGATAATGAAGTAAACAATATGAACACAGGGTAGTAGGTATTAAGTCTTTATAAAGGTAATAACCCTTTGTTTCAGTCAGAACAGTGATAGTTCTGTTATTTTTTTTTTCTGAGCATCACATTCATATTGAATACATGGTAAAACTAAAATAAACTGGGCCTAAAAGCACACACTATCTGACTAAGAGCTCTGCAATGTTATGAGCAGAGAAACTGTCGGGCATTTACTAGGAACATGCTTCTTTTGTCATTAGACTTGTTTTTGACATGTAAAATGTTCTGAAACAACTGATTTGATGTGTTCTTTACATTTTTACATTTCAAACCCAAAATTGGGTCCGTTTTGCTCTTGGCAGATGGTTTCCACAAGCAACCTTCTGAAGCATAGCCCATCATTTGACCCAAATCAGCTGGAATCCAGCATGGAAAAAAAAAAAAGACTTTCCTGCTAATCTAATCATTTAGGGGTTAATGGCCTGTATTTGTATAAATGATGTCTTAAGAGATTTCATGATCAAACAAACTCAAATGTAAAACAACAGATTGCAGGATGATAGCTGGACGATAAGCTGCGTAGCAAATATTTAAACCTCGTTCCTCTACTGTTTAACTGCACGTTTGTACTCCCAAAGCTCTGCTCGAAAACATTCGTTATCAACTCCTGCAACGTTCCTGGAAGTGGTTTCAGTTGTGTTGTTGCTGTTAGCTGAGAAGGAATTTCAGGGCGTGTGCAGAAATCCCTTCTTCAGATGTTCAAACAGTCCAGGAAATGACAGATGAGTTTTTCCCCTAAGACATAGGAATCCCTCAGGATGTAAAACCTCTATGAAGGATTTCTTTCTTTTTTTTTTCTCCTTTTTTTTTTTTTTTTTTTTTTTTTCTGCATCAAATATCAAATTGAAAACTGAAACAACCACAAAGAAAATATTTCAACAACAGCAACCCAGAAAGATGCATGAGCTGTACTCAAGATTGAAAGGTGCATGCATGTGTGTCTGGTTAGCAGGAACATATGTGCACCATCAAGGAGACCTGGTGTATTTATTCATGCTGATTATAATTAAAATAAGCAGTTAATTACCAGAATATAACCCTCTTCTAAAGAAACAGCCTGTATTTATTAGAGAATCTAAAGCAGAAGAATTTTACCTTGTGCATATTTTAAGCTGTGTGGGTTGAGTGGGAGAGGCAAATGTTTCCAGTGGAGAAATATCTCTGACTAATACCATGTAAGTGCATCAGTTCATGAAACGAAGGAAAACAAAGGCAATGCAGATTAAGAGTTATGGTTCGTCCATTACGTTAAACTCAAATAAAAATGTTATGATTTGATTATAACTATCCCTTCATGCTCAGCAGGTTAGCATGCAATTGGGATTACTGTGTTCTGTTAAATAAGGCAGCATAATGGAGGACAAGTCTTTCTCACAGATGACTAAATTGACACATCTACCAGAAATAGAAAACAATAAAAAAGACATTTTAACAAGGACCCAATTTTAACTATTTGCTTTGATTTTGTTTTCTTTAGTTTTAGTAATAAAATACTTTGTGTATCATTGAGAAGGACATAAGACAACCTTAAGATGGTCTAAACTCTCCAACCATAATGGATTAACTCAGTTTTTCATAAAGACTACCGCAGTAAATACTGGTGCCAAAACAATAACAAAACAAGATTTTGATATTTTTTTTTACTTATTTATTTTACAAAAACAGAGAGGGGAAAAACATTCCCAATCTAAGTTACAAAAATAAACAGGCAGTTTCTTTTAAGTAAAGGCTCCCAGTGAGAAAGTGGGTTTCTCACCACACTCAGTTCAAAAATTCAGTATAGTGTGTAGAAAATACACTCATACATGCAATATCAAACTGTTTATTTACACTTCTGGCAGCTTGCATTTCATATTTTTTCCATACAGAGATTATGGAAGTACTGCTGTCAGTAAACAAGTTCATGTTTATTGAATACATAAATTGTGAAGTTATACACAGAGTTTACACTTCTAGTGCTATTTGTGGTTAGCTTGTCACCGAGCACAAAAAATTATGCTGTTTGATTTGACCAGCATAATTTATTCTCGGCTCAGATTTGAGAGTTGAGAATAAAGTCCCAACCCATTGGAGAGTGTTTTTATTTGTGTGTGTTAGGAAGGGTTTTATTGTTGCTTCTCAAAAAGTCTGACATTCATGTACAAAAAGACCAAAGCGCCATCATATCCCTCTGTTGTTTTGACTGTTTCAAAAACAACCATTCCTTGTTCTTTGCTCACTGTTTTCCACTTCAGTTAAATATTTGAATTCTCAAATGTTCTCCTTTGACTTCTCTTAAGAAGTTTCTTTTTGAAGCAAAACTCCAGTTGTGCATAAAGACGTACTCCTCCTTGGCTGTGGTTTAGTGGCTCTACGTGAAACATAATTAGCCTTTAGGCTGACACCTAACAACCTTGAAAGGCCCTAGAACCACAGCCGGAGAACCGTTGGATTCACTCAAACTGAGAATGAGTTTGTCTCCTGGGTTGCGCTATGAGAGTTAAACGACATGTCCATCTCTTCACCATGCGTTGGAGTCTCTCGTGTCCTCTGGCTCCTCTTCCTTCTCTTTTGTTCAAACTTCTTAGCGACTTTCACCATATGCTGCTTGAAGGAGGACCCCATGAAGGCGTAAAGGATCGGGTTGATGCAGCAGTGAATGAGAGCCAGGCTTTCCGCCACCTGGGTCGCCTGATCCAGTACCTTGCTTGTCTGGCAATGGGTTACAAAAATGTACACTGAATCTACGGCACGGTGCAGTTTTAGCACGTTGTATGGCAGCTGAGTGACAACAAACACCCCCACTACTATGAGGAGGACACGCAGGGCTCTCCACTTCTTGCCTCGGCTCTCGATGGGAAGGTTTCTCAGCGCTCGGCAGACAGACCAGTAGCAGATCACCATGACCAGGAGAGGAAGAAGGAATCCCAGCAGCACCTCGGCCACCTCCAGCACAGCTTTACCACTCCGAGCCATAGACGAAGGGTAGATGGCTACGCAGATGTTCCTATTGGATGTCCACACCACTTCTGAGAAGATTAAATCAGGCAGACCGAGCAGGAAGGCCGTTCCCCAGACGGCTGAGCACCACTTCCAGCAATGCCTCCTGTTGAAAAGCTGCTGCAACCTGCCTCTGTCTGCTCCACCCTGCACTCTGAGAACCGCCAGGTAGCGGTCCAGGCTGATGCAGGCCAACAGCAGCATGCAGCAGGTGAAGTTCAACGTGTAGCAGGCCGACACGATCCTACAGACGGCGTCCCCCAACTCCCAGCCCCTGGCGGCATCAGCGGCCCAGAAAGGCAGCGTGAAGAGGAGCAGCAAGTCGGCCACGGCCAAGTGGCTCAGGAAAGAGTCCGTCATGGTCTTCAGCCGTTTGTGGTAGGCGTAGACAGCGAGGACCAGAATGTTTCCCGTCAGTCCCGCAACCAGACACACACTGTACACGATGGGGAGGAAGAAGGCTGCGAAGGACCGGACATCGCCCTTCTCGCACAAGGCGGGGTAATCCTCATAGCTGTAGTTGAAGCTGGAGTTTTCGTGATAGTAGTAGTCGACCTCATCCATGGTTGCTCTGAAAAAGGAGAGAGGACGAACATTTTGAATTATTCTTAATATTGAAGCAATCACAGTTTGTTGCAACATGATTTCTTTAATATGGTTAAAATGATGTTGGTCAATGAAAAAAAAAAAAAACAGCAATCTGTGGGACTAGCATTTTAGCTCCTGTAGCAAATCAGCTTCTTCGTACATCCATAACTCTATAAGTCGTACTGGTTCCCAAACATCAAATCTATCCCATTATTCACCAGTTAAAATGACTGAATCTGAAGAATGATTTACATTATTTTAACAAGGCTTGTCGTGCAATGGAAAGTTGTTGCATAGAAAAGGAAAACTAATTTACATGCCTTTTAAGGGATTTTATTGCAGTTTTTTCACCCCAAAAGGCCATTTTGTTGCAACTTTTAGATTTACCAGAAGGTTTAGCAGATAATATACATATATTTCTGTATTTGTATATAGGTATTTTTTTTATATATAAAAGTTGTTCCACATTTAGAAGTTTAACATGATACACATTCAGTATTGAACCCTATGAAAACTTCTGTAATGTTTTAATAAAAAGAAAATGATGCTTAACATTCAACCCCCTTGATTTCATGTAAACAGATCATTACAAACAAATGCTTTACTTTGGCTACAGGGAGATTTAGATGAGTAATTATTCTCACTGATAAAAGCTGAGCTGAGCTTTCACCTGCGTTTAAAGATCAAATATCTTTTAAGATATTATTTTAAAGGATTTTTGAGAACCTCAGTGATGAAACAATTAAAATATGGCAAGTTCTCTGTGATGAAGAAGAAAAACAACAAAAAATGTCCTGTGGGGAAAAGTCGGTGACGCAGGTTGCTAGTTCATCAGGGCTGATTGTGTTAAAGCTTTCCCACATGTTCTGGGTGTGACTTAATTTTATAAAGTTCTGCTGGTGTTGATTCAGGCCAGTTTGGATTTGGAACTGGAATTCCCATCAGGATTTGGACAAGATAATTTACACGTTGTGATATGACTTGGGGGGTTAGGAGGGAGGAAATAAGGCCTGTTTCAGTTTAAAATATGCCAATTGAGCCAAAGTGCTTTGAACGTATTTGCAACTTACCCAGGAAAAAAACTGAGAGACAAAATTGTCTTGGCAGAAATTGTAAAAAAGCAGCTTAATTACAGTTTTATTCGAGGTTCTCATCCCCTCCTTGGCTCATTAAAACCAGATGCAGCATGAATGGATCATCGACTTTCTTTTTACATTGTCTCAGCCTTCAAACATTTTACCTGTGATCTTTTATCTAAATGTTGAGGAAAATGGTGTCTACATTCTGGAAATTAAATAAAGATCACAAATGGGTCTGTGCAAATGTTGGTTTTTCAATGTTCTCATCAGGAAGGAAACACTCAAAACAAATATGTGATTTTAATTTTTTTTTCTAAAACACAAAACTTTTTATCTGCTATTTGAATAGTTGTATACATTTAAATAGATTTTTCCTTTTAATCCTCTGGAATAGGAGCAGCATACTGACTCAATTATTCTTGTCACCATCAGCTTTAAAAAACTAAATCTAAATGCTTCACTCTGTGCTGATCTTTCTCTCACATACAATAAAAAAGACTCTTTAAAAGCTTGTCCTTGTTCAAAATAATCAACCATTTTTATTTTATCTTGTTTTTCTGAGGGACACGAAAGAAACAGCGCCACCTATAGTTAGAGCATGCAGTGGTTGTGAAGCGCTTCTGGTGCTGCAACATGACTGGGTTGAGTAAGCGCACCTCGCTCAAGCACAACTGTCCAAAGGAGATACTAGCTGGGTTTAAGAAAAATAAATGCCAAAAGGATTTATGAACCTTGATAAGAGCTGTGCTTAAGAACTGCAGCTGGGGTTTCAGAAATATCCATGAAAAAAACAGGAGAAATGATGAGGAAACATCTTTGACAGTCATCTTGGAATCCATGGACAGGTGGACTATTTAAACATTTAGCAACTGTCAAACATTAGAGATGATTTAGTGGCATTACTGCAGACGTTACAGGTAACAGCAGCTCTTTTGTCTTAGTTTGAATGAGGAGCACGCCCTGCAGCAGTAATGCACATGCACACAATGAACTTCCTCTGGTTCAGTTAAAATCTGTCAAAGAAGAGAAACTGAGATCTGCAAATCCTGTTGGCAGGATTGTGTCAACGTCTGTTTGTCCTGTCCAGACCTGAATATTTCCACCCTTTTTTTTTTTTTTTTTTTACATTTATAAGATCATCTGCTTCTCTGCTGAAAGATAAAAGTAAAGTCCAGAAAAAAAGATGAAGTTTCCACAAGTAGAGACTAAAAACGAAATACCTAAGATTCTCTGGCTCCCCTCTCGATTTATTCGCGTTGTGGTGCATTTAATCAAATTTTATCACTGTTTTTATTAGGGAAAATTTTCTATCAGCAGAAAACTTGCTTAACCGGGAAAGTTAGAAGTTATTGAAACACGGGTTGTTATTTTGCAGAAAGATGATATTTACATAATTTGCATATGTTCTAATATGGAATATTTTTTATAGAAATGATTTTCACAGGAAGTGTTCATCGGAAAGCTGCTGCTGCTCTGCCTCGGTCATGTTTAACTTGAAGAAAAGCTTGAAGATTTCTTCATTTAAACATCTTGAGAGCAGCTGTTGATACTCTGTACCATCTCATGTTGCCAATGAAACGGCATTTCATATTCAATACCGGATTATAGATTTCTTTGGAGGCGAAGTGGGAATCTTGCATTTAAAATATCCTGGCATTTCAGCCACCTCATGATGACGTTGTAAGGATCCTAGAGCCTTGGAAGAGAAACAAGTCCAATGGTTTTGATTGGAAATCCTGATCAACTTTTAAATGCCAAAGCAAAGCGCTTCGTTTGCAATTATTTGTTGAAAATAACTATTTTCTCCCCACTTTTTAAAATACATATTAACATTGTGTCCAGCGTGAGATTATGATACTGCAGTTGAACATTAATTTGTTTTAATGCGTTTCTTCCGTCTTTTTTAGGGGTGGGTGCGTATAAATGTGACTGGTAGAGTAGATCTTAACATGAGTTTGGAAAGGAAAACACAAAACATTAGCGATCGAGCTGCTGCTGAGAAACTGCAGCTGTTGATGATTAAAAGGAAGAGGGGGTCTGAGGGGCCAGAAAACACCAGAAGCACTGAGCAAGAGCATAAACAAATAAAACTGTTGTGTCTTTTTAAGGTGCTGAAAAGTTGGTGGTTTACACATTCGCAGCATTGAGCAGGAACTGGCATGGTGTGAGGTGTTGCAATGCATGGGGTTTTTATATGGAGCTCCAGGCAGGACCTAACCAGCATGATAACCACAACATCCTGTTGCAAATTAGCATCCAAGCTGGTTTGGGTTCAGCAGAAATAAAGACACTATTCAACCTAACAATGAGTGAGAAGATGTTTCAAATCCAGTGAGGCATGTTTATCAAGGAATCAAAAGATGAATGGCTTTGATACTTTACCTGACCCTCAAAATGAGATGTAACACAAACAATTCATCAGAACTTCAGATTACAACATAATGAAGCTTCCAGCAAGAATAAACAGTCTGCAAATCTGTCCAATGTGACATGGAGGATATGAGTCAGTTTTTGAAGTCATGTGTTGGAAATGCCACAAACTGGCAAAACAATTTTGACAGAAGCCAAATGGTGACAGTGAGATTCCTGAGCCAGAGCATCTGCCAAACAGCAAGTCTTCAAGTCTTCCTGCAGCAAAGTATTTACTAACTGCTGCCATGAAAAACACAAGAAAGGTACAGCTACCAAAAACAGAAGCATTAATGTTTAAGGCTCATCGATGCAGGGAGCATCGACTGGAGCACATGATGCTGGAGACTTTCCTGCAGAGCAAATGTTCATTTGAAAGGCATAAAAAGATGACAGCGCTCTGACAAACACACACTTCAGCGCTGAAATGAATGGCTAATCTGACAGGTTTAAAAAAAGCATGCTGCTTCTGGTAGAGATGTAGAGGATGTAATCATCAGAACTTGTTTTTAAATACTTGTAAAAAAAAACTATTTGAATGGTTCCTTAACATGGAGATTAAATGAGACGTGATACTCAATAAGACAAACACAAAGAGGAAAAATCCCTGAATCACTGAACTCACGACCATGTGACACTGACAACGTACCAAGTTATTTTCATGACAGTGTTTCAGCAAAGTCAGATGTTCTGCTTCACCACAAGAACCTCTGAGGACTTGTAAGGAAATAAGGAAGAACACATAGTGACGACTTGTTCCCAAAAATGATCTTTGCATAATTATTTATATTTATTTATATTTGTATGTTTGCATATCTTGTCATATCACAACACAAACTTAATTAGTTTTAACTGAGATCTTATGTGATGAATAACACAAAGTACAGAGTAACTGTACAGTGGAAGTGAAATGACCGATGATTTTCAATAAAGGAAAATGCTGAATTAATAAAATTAAAGATAACCACAGGTTTACGTAGTGACAGCTACATTTAGGACTTCATTTACTAAATAAATATTAAACTGCGACAGACACTAGAATAAAAGGACTGATGCATTTTCAGCAATGAACCATTTTCATAATAGAGTGTTTCAGAGTCATGCTGTAGTTAATAATGATCTTCATGCATTAATGCAGTTTTTTCATAAACATATATATTTTCTCTGTTATAATTTAACTTTAAGCGACATAAGGTCATATGAAGCAAAGATAAAACAGTCTCATTTAATATCAGAAATGGAAAATTAAACTTCACAACTCTCGTTTCTCACAAACTTCACAACTGAAATTAATTAACAACTAAAAAGATTAACGATTATCTGTTTTAATCCACACACATTCATTTGTAAGATACTCACTGTGTTTGGATTTAGCTGTAGGTTTTCTGCTTTTCACACGTCTGCTCTCTGTGCTCTGCAGAACTGGGTCGCCTTGATTCGGTATATGGTGCAGCACAAGTGGGCGGAGATTGGAGAAGGCTGCTCCAGCCAGAGCTTCTCACAAACGCACAAACATGACACAATATTTACAAGCACTCTAAAGCTGAGCGCCTCATTAAAAATGTTTTTTTTATTACACATGAAACCCCCTCTGTTAGCACGTACCTACGTCTAGAGATACACTTACGCAGCCATTTTGTTAATACCATGTGTTCAAAACCGTATTGGAGCAAATAGTGACAGAAAGCAGACAGATTCAGTGCATCAAAGTTCAAACTCCAAAACACACATCTGTGTGTCACATGTTACCCTGATAAACTTCCAACAAACAGAAACACAGTTTTAGTGTGGAGAAACATTTGGAAGGTGTTTTCAGATGACAGTACATCCAGCTGTGCAGCAGAACAGACATCCAAAACACAGAACCAAGAACATAATAGGATGTTAAAGAAAGGATAGTTTTAAAGGGGCCTAGTCAAAGTCCAGACTCAAATCTGTCTAAGGTGCTTTAGCGTGACCTTAGACAGGATGTTACTGGAAAAACCTCCAGAGTGGCTCAGTTCGACAAAGAGGAGTGGGTCAAAATTTCTCCACACATGTGAAAGGCTCATTTGCCAGTTATCAATACGATAGTTATCAAAAATGATAGCTGGCAACGAGGGCAATTAGATCGGGCAAAAACCAGGTAATGGGGTTAGGTGGCAATGTTTTTTTGTTTTTTTTACATAATGCCAGGCTTAAATATAAAAACTGGATTTTCTATTTACTCAGGTTATCTTTTGATACTATGGCCTGAGATATTTAAGTGAAACAAAAATACAATAGAGTGTGAAAAGAGTTTCAAAGCGGAAACTCTTTTCACAGTGCAACAAACTTCTACAAGTTAAAATTGAATCAAAATTAGGACTTTGGGGATAAATTGGGACCAAAAAGTTTGGTCAAAAAACTTCTTGTTTGAAACCGAAAAAGAAAAGCATTTAAAGCTGAAGAATAATTTTGAAACTGAAAAAATCTTATGAAACTGAAAAAGATTAAAAACTACTTTTCGGATTGAAGGTTTTCTTTTAGTTTCAATCGTTTTTCTGTTGGAAACTTTTTTTCTTTTTAATAAACTTTATTAAAAAGTTTAATAAAGTTTAGCTCCATATAGGTCCATCTGTCATTCAGTCTGGTAACAATGAAGGTCTATGTGACCACAGTTTAAACTTTTTTGTTTTTCACTGAATAAACAACAGCTGCAATAAAGAAAGGAATTCAAACCATTCTTTACCCATATGTTTTAGGTTACACCTCAAAACAATGTCGTATATGCCATAAATTTGATTTCTTCCTGTTTTCAATGGAAAATGTAAAACTGTTGACCAGATGTGAAATAAAATGCTATTTTCCTCCTATATATCTGAACATAGATCTCCCAACACCTGATATATCTCTAGATCAGACTTTCTCAAGCTGTGGTCCGCGGGCGCCCCCTACTGGTCCGCGAGGTACTACATGTAAACGACCGTTTATTTGCCGTGACGTCAGCTCAAAGTGCGACGCTACAACTAGCTTACCAAAGGATAACAATAAAATAGTGATGAAAAACTGGCTTAAAATCGGATGACTTAAAAAAAAAAAAATCCAGATACCGTTGGAAAGAAAACAACTCCAGAGGAAGTCATGTAGCTGCTGAGTGTTGATCACTAGCAATTGATTTCCTTTGAACGGTTAACAATCGCTCCAGTCACTGAACTGTTCATGGCTTTGTTGTGGCCAGGACATTTACCAAACAGCACCACTCTTATCAATAGGATGAACAAAGAAACCCTGCCAGCATGCCTAGGTGGGCCCCATGTGGGGAAAAGGAGGGCAAACCATATGGGTCCCATATACAATACCTGAATCAAGAGACTAATATTTTAACTTCAGTTTGCATTATATATTAATAGGCCTGTGCGATAAACGATAAATCAATTAATCGGACATAATTAAACCTATCGACCTCATTTTAATTATCGGCTTTATCGTCTCTTCCGGCCTTTTTTCTTTCTGTTGATGATACTGAATGAAAAAAGGCTCAGCTCCGGTGCTCTTTACTGACCCTCCCTTCCTCATTTCCTTAGTCTAATGTCCAGCGCACATTACACAAGTTGTCGGCCCATTTTCAAACCCTGAGCGACCACACATTAGCCGACAGAAATCTACGGTATAACGGTTCGATCGGATTTGTCGTGACGTGTGGTGTCCAGCCACATGGGCACAAAATAATGGCTACAAGTCCAGTTAACTAATTTTAAAATCAGGCATTAATCAGTGCTTTACTAGAATCTACCTGTCACATGCATCACAGTCCTGACTGAATGAAAATAATTATAACCTATTTATGTTACGTTAACGAAGAACAGCTGAAAACCTACCACTGCGGTAGCCATTTGGCTCCAACTCCTCCCCTTGTCATTTCTATAGTCTTCGCACGTAATGTTGAATAAATATTAATGTTTCCACATATCATCTCCGATGTCCGCTGGACTTCGGGTTGCGCTGTTTCAGCTGTTTGGGATTCCCCTCGTAATTTCCCCTCAGAAAGCAGGAGGAGAATCCGGC